TTTATGTAGAGTAATTTTATAAAGTTTATATAATTATCCTACATACAACAATCGACCTTAGAGACGAAGTATACTGTTTCACATAATAAAGATGAAAGAGTATAAACAAAAAAGAAAAAGAAAATATAAGATAAATAGTTTTGAATATTACCGTAAAGGTTAAAGCTTGCCTATAATTAAATATAATTACATTCATGTTATTTAATTATCATCTGCGTCGTCATCATCATCGGATATATATTTCTTTGTAACCCTTTTTCTACGACCACCTCTACCCTCACTTTTTCTACCTTTAAGTTTAATCTTCATTCTTACACTGGAATCAGCGTCAGATCCTTCTTCGCCGTCTGTATTCATCATTATAAAATATACATTACTATAATGATTATAATAATAATAATAACGATAATATTAAAACGACAAATAATAAAATACCTTTGTCATCCAAATCGGAAATATTTCCTTCTTCCTCCAAACGTTGTCGCGCATTTGTAAATACAGATTGCAAAACTATTGAATCTTCGTGAATAAGGGAAGCTTCTTCGTTATAAATCTGTGCGTTTTTGCATAATTGCATAAAATCTTTCTCCAATTCGTCAAAATCGGCATACTGAAAATTGTTAACGTTAATAAAAAATATCTTTTCATGTGTCGCAGAGAAATATAATAATAAAATTATCAAAATACTTACTTTGCCTTCCTCAATTTTTTGTAACAATTTATTAATAGTTAAAGGTTTCTTTATAATTTCATAATAATCAGGTAACTCCCTCCTAGATGGTAGTTTCATAAACGGTTCACTTAGTAATCTACCATCGGTACTATCGGTATAATGAACAACAACCATAATTAATTTCTTCATAGCACGTTTCATCTTAGGATCAATCGATGATCCAGCCCCTCTTCTTTTCTTTGGCATAGGTTCGTCATCCTCCTCTCCCTTTTTCTTTCGTTTTCTCGTCTTTTTCTTTTTCTTATCATCCTCTTCTTCCTCGTCATATTCCGCACCATCATCATCAATGGCTTTTAACCATTCTTTCTCGGTGATACTATCTGTATAATCAACTTCTTTACGTTGCCTTGAACCTCTTCCAAGGTATCTTTCTTCATCTTCTTCGTAAGTCCATCTTTCAACTTCATCGTCGTCTTTGACAAGCCAATCAGGTAATTCAGCTTCCTCTAATAATCTTGACTTTCTATTTGGTCCTAATTTCGCTTCCTCTCTTCTTCTTTCTAAATCTAATTTTTGGAATATCTCAAATTCACCTTCCGTTCTCGCAATCATTTGATTAACCGTCTCGTCATCCGGTACTTCATTTTCTTCCTCATCCTCTGCATCGTCCTGATGCAAAATACTTTGCAAAAATTGTTGACGCTCCGAACCTGTTGATTTCTGATCGAACATTCCAGCTTGTATAACTTTCTCGTCCATGTTTAATTTGTAACGAGCTGCAGCTAAGATTCTTTCTTCGACGGAATTTACGGTCATCAATCTGAGTACGCGTACTTCGTTTTTCTGACCGATTCTGTGTGCTCGATCTTGAGCTTGTAAATCCTAAAATAATAATGGATGAAATAATTAAGCTTTCTATATACAAATAAATTTTGTTTGTTCACTGTAAAACAATATAAAAAAAAATAATAATTCGTACCTGATGCGGATTCCAATCAGAATCGAAGATAATTACAGTATCAGCAGCTTGTAAATTCAAACCGAGACCACCAGCACGCGTGGACAATAAAAATAGGAAATATTCTGAGCCAGGATCGTTAAATTTTTTTAATAAATCCCCTCTGTCTTCAGCCTTGGTTGTACCATCTAATCTTAAATACATAAATCCTCTCCAACTTAAATAATCCTCCATAATCGTCATCAACTGTGTCATTTGACAGAAAAGCAATACTCTGTGATTGGTTGCTTTCAATTTTGGAAGGATCCGATCCAAAAGTTCGAATTTTCCAGATGCGCGATATAAATCTGGTCTGTTGATTTAAAATTAATTAATATTGTATACAGAACATATATATAAATATTTAATTTTTATGTAATTGTTATGTGCATACCCAGTGATAACACCAGATCCTTGAGTACCAACGTGTTCACAATATTTTTCTTCGATAGCTTGGAACATGAAAGGATGATTACATAATTTTCTTAATTGTACAATAGTGTTCATCAAAGCTTTGGCACCACCCTTGCCTTGTTTGCCTTTCTCAGAACCATCTGTCAGTAAAACACCTTTACTCTGCATATGCCTAAAAAATAAATAGATTTTTATGTTAAAAAAAAGTGGAAAAAAATTTTGATATCATTGAAATAAAATATTGAAGTTAATATTTACTTGTATAATACTTTCTGGAGTCCAGACATGTCACATTTAATAATATATTCCACTTTGTCAGGTAACTGAGATTCGACTTCTTTCTTCAAACGTCTCAGTAAAAATGGTCGCAAAACTTTGTGCAAACGACGAATAATCAAGATAGTTTCTTCCTCGTTTAACTCGACCTTAAACGCAAAATTTAAAATTCAAAAGTTGTACTTAGAAAGTAAATGATTATTAAGAATAATTAATAATAATTTATTTACCTTTTCACCGGTTGTTGCAAAAGGTGCATTGAACCATTGTTCAAAAGTACTACAAGATTTAAATATGGAAGGCAATAAGAAATTCAACAAAGCCCATAACTCAGGTAGCTTGTTCTGAAGTGGTGTACCAGTTAACAGAAGTCTATGGGGTGCTAAGTAATGCGTATTCAACACTTGTGTTAATTTGCAGTGATGATTTTTCATTCTGTGACCTTCGTCAATGATCATATATTTCCATTGCAATTTTGCCAGGACACCCTTATCCTTAATAACGTATTCATATGTTGTTAACAAAACATTAAACTTAGTTGCTCGCATTTGAGATTGAATGGCACGTCTACCAGCTGGTGACCCCTTGTAAGATACAACCACAACGCTAGGTGCCCATTTTTCAAACTCGAGAACCCAATTAGAAAGTGTCCTGCGATGAGAAATTTAATAAGAAAAAATATTGGATAATTTTAATTGTATGAGAATAAAAAATAAATTATCTTACGTACGATAATGGAACGATGATCAAAAATGGGCCATTTACTTTCTTCTTCTCCATTAGATATGTGACTAATGCTATAGTTTGAATAGTTTTACCGAGACCCATTTCATCCGCCAAAATACCATTAAGATTATTATTAAACAATGATACTAGCCACTCCAATCCCTAAAATATGTAATTCATTGTTAATTATTTATTGAATATTTATAATACAATATAAAATATCCAACATTCTTTATTTTCTACCTTAATCTGATATTCTTTTAATTTGCCGTTAACCATAATTGAAGCTTGTTCTGTAACAGATTCGTGAACAGTATGCGCTATACTATAATATGTCTGTTCTTCTGTTTTGTACTCGTCATCTTCGACCTTGGCTTTATGTATCGTTTTTTTCACTTTCTCTTCTTCGGAATCACCCATTGGTTTTTCTTTGTCTAATGATATCAATAAAAAGTTTAGTATTATTAAATTATTCATTTATAAAATAAACATTGTAAATAAAATGCTATTAAATTTATTCTTACTTTCATCTTCTTCGTCTTCTTCGTCATCTTCACTTTCGGAATCGATTGGTTCCCATCCAGGATGAGCTTCTAAGAATGCTGAAAGTTGGCTCATCAGTGGTGCTTCATCACCAGTTAAAGTACGACCCGTTGCTATTTCGATAACACCGACACGAGTGTCATCATTTGGAGTACCATCTTCATTAATTTCTCCATCTTGAAGTTTCTTCTTTTTCTAGAATTTTATTTAAATAATATAAAGATTAGAAAATAAATTTATTTTAATTATAAATATTTGTAATAATAAACAAATCAAATAATTTACTTTTTTACGTTTCTGTTCTTCAACTTGTTTTCTCTTCTGTTCAATCTTATGTTGTTTAACCATTTCAGTAAGATTACTAATGTATTCATCAGTTTGCGATAAAAGGAATGCTAAACGTTTGTCTTTCTTTTGATCAATCAATTTCCTATATCCTTCTTCATCCTCAGCCATAAGACGACGCATACGTTCCTTTTCAATACGTTCTTGTTCTTTCTTTTGTTCGCGTTCAGCATTCGCATGATAATTGAGCACAGCTTTATTGAGTCTAGCCAATTTAGCCACATTGTTTCTATGAAATTCTTTAAAATCTTTACCATGTTGAAGTACCGAGCTAAGAAATTCCTGAAAAAGAATCAAACACAGCAACGCGAGGATTATTATCTTATTACTTTCCTAATAATATCATTCCTTTTTCCATGTTAATATTAAAAAAAAAAAAACCTACTTGATGTTTTTGCCTACGTTTACGTTCAGCTTCCAACTTCTGTTGCTTTTCTAATTTTTCAGTGGCTCTTGCTTCTCGCAAACCTTGCTTTTTCGTACGTTTGTAAGCTTTTACATTAACCGCTGTTTCTAAGGTTGTATCTTTTCGAGTACATGCTATTATCTGTAATAATAAAATTAGTTTACTTAACATTACAAAAATATATATTTTATATTATTATATAACAATGATTACTGTCTGTTACCTCAGATCTAAGTTGTCGTTGGAAATTAAGTACCCTTAACATACGTAATTCAATCTGCACTTGAATACGTAAATCTTCAGGCATATTTGTTGGCAAATTACTAAGTTGTTCCATTCTTAACGTAATACGAGCAGCCACTCTATTATGCAAGGCCACAAAAAAACATGTTTAATAGTCGTTCGTAATAGTAAATATGTCATTTGTTATAAATAATTCTTAGTATTTACCTATTCTCTCGTTCTTGTAAAATTAACAATGGATCCAATCCTACTGGCTTAGGAACACTCGTTACTCTATTAGTTTTAGCACCTTGCGGAGGTGGCTGTTGTTGTTGAGGTGTTTGACAACCTGGCCTCGGAGCACCTGTAGGTCCTATTACATTAGGACCAGGAATTTGTGGTCCTGGAGTAGTAGCTGGTCCTTGAGATGGATCCATAGGTCGTGGAGTCATACCTGGGGGTGGTGCTCCACCTATTTTTGTTGCAGAAGAATAAAGGATTAATTCTTAACGGCTCAGAAGTATTTCAAATCTATTCGTCACGAGGTCTAAGCTATTTGTCATACAAGGAGAAATTGTGTACTAAATATTTTCATATAAAGTATAAAAAAGAAAATCTTTATTCTTACAAATAATAAAATGAGTTTTGCCGCTATATACGCGGCATTGGACCTAATAAGTAAGAGTACCATTCCGTGTATATGGCGGCATATAGCGGAACTATACTTTACATATATAATTACCTTGAATAGCAAGTGCCAACTGTTGAGACAAAGGTTGATTCCTCGATAATAGACGATAAGCCATTATTTGTACTCTGCAAATAATAATAGTATGAATTATAAATTTTAATGAAAGAATGAAATAAAAAATACGTCGTTAAACTCACCGTAATTGTTGTAACTGCTGAGCACTGAACGTTTGTTTCTCTCCCATGTTATTTCCTTGACGTGCTCTTAGCGCTATCAACTGCGAATATCGTGGATCTTCTTGAAGACCTTTTTCTTCCATAGAATCAATAGCTTTTTGTAAAGCATTTAAATTTTCTTGACCAGGACCTGGTGGACCACTAGGTCCAATATGACCAGGTCCAGTTTGACTCATCTGATTGACTGGTGTGCCTGGTCCCATTGGTCCGGTATTTCCAGGAACAATTTGTCCTGGATTAGGAGTATTGGGACCAATCTGATTAGACGATGGTTGTCCACCGAGTCCATTTGGTCCCATTTGACCGCTAGCAACTGCGTGACTCATTTGATTAGTAGGTCCTCCTGGACCCATTGGATTACTTGGCCCATTCGGTCCTAATTGATTAGCTGGTCCACTCTGAGACATCTGACTATTAGGTACCATCTGTCCCCCTGGTCCCAATTGTGGTCCACCCGGACCGCCACCGGGTCCCATTGGACCAGGTCCATTAGGTCCATTCCCAGGTCCCATTGGACCTCCGGGACCAGTAGGTCCATTTCCTGGACCTACTATTTGTCCCCCAGGGCTACCTCCTGGTCCCATTTGTGTACCCGGACCACTTCCTGGCCCTAATTGACCCATTTGATTTGCAGGTCCATTTTGACTCATTTGATTACCGGGTCCCATTTGTCCTCCTGGTCCTATTTGATTACTTGGATTGTTCCCAACAGGTCTGCCACTTTGAGGCCCATTTGGACCTATTTGACCAGGTACCATTGAGCCGACCGGCCCTTGTTGAGGATTCGGTCCCTGACCTATTGGACCAGATCCACCTTGATTCTGCAAATCACATAGATCGTAACGAAAAAATTAGTGTATGTAATATTAATTTATAAACAAATACTTATAAAATTACTTATCAAATTTTTATTATGTCATATATGATATTTTAGAGATAAAGAGGAAAAAGAAAAATTGACTTAAAAATGTATATTCTCAACTGAAGTATTACTACACGCAATAAATATACAGTTAGATTCGTGGTATCTACTATCTATATCTTTATTGTTAGATTTATGTTATTGCAGGTATTATTATTCGTCATGAATTAGTTTCTTTAACATTTAATTTTTATTTTTTTTACCTATCATCGATCAGTCATATTCTTTATATTTTCCTCAAAATAATTTATCAAGAAAAACCCAAAGAAAACGTTAAACCATCAAGCAAATTTTTTCCCTGCATGAACAATAATTCTTCAGAATTTGAATTTATCAAAGACATAATTGAAATGGACAAAACTGGAGAGCGTACTTTAAACTAGTTATTCATGATATAACGTGTACCTAACAAGATTAAATCAAAAGAGAGTAATATAAAAGGACCAGGATGACAAATTGTCCACGTGGGTCCTCCTGGTAGTAAACATAATAGAAATAATAATAAACGCGTTATTACACGTGCTTGGTCAGTGACTAACTAACACACACATTACTTTCTTTTACTAACACAAGCATTACTTTTCTATATATTAAACGTTTTAAACGTATAGAAGAACGATAGAGCATGAACTGTTCACGCCCTAAACCGAACGAGATCACGTTCCTTGGTCATGTTAGGCATCCGGTGTGCATCTCCACTTGTGGGGCTCAATGATAGACTCGGGATTTCACGTGATTCTTATTTGTCCAATAACAAAAACACAATTACGTTCAATAAAGCAGGGTTGTTTTTTCCTTTTCATTTTTAAAACTCGACAGCAGCTCAGTAATTTTCCTATAATTATTTACTGAATATAAATTGATTATTTGTCAACTAAGATATTTTTATAAATTCATATTTATATTAAATTTTATTCATAATTAATATTAATTTTGATAATATTTTATACAATAGTTTGTATGTTTCTAATGTTCATTTAACTTTTCAACTTAGCTAAGATTGAAATGATTTAGAAATTAACAAAATAATACTCTAATTTTACTAACAAAAATTGACTAATTGTATGTTATAAATAATTTATTAATTACCTATAAATTAATTTAACATCATTAATAATTTATTAATCTAAATTTTTGTTCAATGTTTTACAACGTCCATAAAAGTTAATAATAAAAATCGTAACTTTACAACAGTTTATTTTTAATTATTAATAAAAATAAAATAGTTTATAATCTTGATAGGCTTAAATCATATCAATACATAAACCGGCAAGTAGAAAAGAATTGAAAGTAATGATATTGATTATTCCTAATTAAGTCGAGTAAAATGAAAGCACATGGTGGGGGGTTACTGCTGTGCCATAAAACGGAGCTTCCCATCAACGATTCGGTATTGTGATCGAAACGGATCGCAACAGTTAACCGTTCCAAACTTATTCGCGGTAAAAGAAATCTAAAGGAAATAACAACTTCTAGTTTTATCAGTTTTGATCAGTGTGATAATCATGGTCGATCAAGAGGAACTCGATCGTTGTTACGATTATGTTTTGAAGCTTACGATCGAATCAGGAAAGGTATTTATAATCATTTTCATTCAAACATTATTCACAACAAGTGTTTTCCTTCACAAATGAAATAACACAAAAATAAATTTTAGAAATTATTATTGCATTACCATTAGGCACATATTTTTGTTAATCTTACTTAATTAAAATTTAATTTGTTAAATAGACATATACGAGATTTTTCTATATATATATATATAATCACGAATTATTTATTATTATTTAAAATTAAAGAAATTATGATATCAATTGTAAATAATACATATTCGTTTAAAATCAGTTATGTTTTCTGACCTAATAAAAATAATGATTTACTTTTTGATAAAACTTTTTTGTTGAAATAACAATATCTTCGGAATGATATATATGTTCTTATTTTAACTGGAATATATATGTAGATTACAATATGCTTATCACTGTCGCTTTTATTCAACAAAATTATCATCGTGTTTATGGCCTATCAGACGTTCTTCGTAAAATGATTTTATACAACAATTAATAATACGTTCAAAAGATACTATTACTCGTATCGTTTTATTATGTTGTAATATAATAACGATCCTGCATTATCCGATAACTTTTTTATTTTGTATTAGGTAATACGAGAGGCCATTGATATTTCCAATAAAAAAATCGAAACTAAAGTTGCCGATTGGGATCTAGTGACACAGTATGATAAGAAGGTCGAAGAAATTTTAATCAATAATCTTATGAAGGAATTTCCTAATCACAAGTTAGTATAATTTAACATACAAAATTATTATTGTTCATAATTGACGCGATTTTTAGTATATAGAAATTTTCTATGCGAGATATTTGTCGTTGAAAAATATTTTATTTATAATTTTATGTGTGTGTGTGTGTCTTCTATTACAATTTCCCCATAGTAATAGAATATTTTTATTTAATTTTTACTTGAGAAACAAAAAAATCAGATAAGCATGACTCGATAAAAATTTTGAAAGAGTTTTACAAAATTACTTTTGTCGCGTATCAAATTCTTATATAATTTTGACGAGTTAATGTTTACTATCATCTTTGTAGATTTATCGGTGAGGAAACAGTTTCAAAAACAAAATGCCTACCAGAACTGACAAATACACCAACATGGATCATAGATCCGATCGATGGAACTACCAACTTCGTTCATGCTTTTCCCTTCACTTGCATATCGATTGCTTTGTCAGTAAACAAAGAACTCCAACTGGGTATTGTATATAATCCAATATTGGAACAATTGTTTACTGCTAGAAAAGGTTGTGGTGCATTTCTGAATGGGAAACCCATAAAAACTTCGAAGGTTCCAGGTATGATTCAAACACAAAATTATTTGTTTGTGCAATTAAACAAAATTGTGCTGATAATTACGATAGTGGAGACCAAGCACAAAAATTACAAAGAAATTTACTTGATAATATAAATAATTGTATAATATATCAAATAAATTATATGAAGTTAATTGTGTTTCAATATTATTGGACATAATTATTATGACACTTATATAATTAAAAAATGAATTTACAGATTTGGAACATTCTTTGCTATGTTTGGAAGCTTCATTTGCAGCAATAGAGAATATCAGAGATATCATATTGGGTAGATTGGAAGCATTTGTTTCGGTAGCTCATGGAATAAGAACAATGGGTTCAGCAGCTTTGACACTTTGCTATATAGCAATGGGTGCTGCAGAAGCTTATCATTCGGATAATTTAATGCCTTGGGATGTAGCAGCTGGTGTGATAATAATTCAAGAAGCTGGTGGTGCAGTCATTGACACAAATGGTATTTATCAAATATCAAATAATATTTTATCTAAAATTCCAACTAAATATTACTAGTTAATTGTCTTATCATTATCATTATCATTATCATTATTAATGTAATAAATTAGGTGGAGAATTCAACGTAATGTCGCCAAAAGTAATTGCAGTTGGCAATCCAAAATTAGGATACGATTTAGTTAAACTGATCCAGCAAGCAGATTCCAAGACTCATCAAAGAAGATCAGTGTTAAAAAATGCAACGTAATACTTTCAAAGTTACCTTCTCGAAAGAGTAAGATAATAAAATTATCACCTTTTCTTAAACAACGATAATTGTAAGAACGACTGCTATCTTACCAAAGTCCTACCAGTTTCGAAGGAACAGCGGGATTGTTCTGTTCGTCTGTTAAGTGTGTTGTTATAGTATTAAAAACAAATTTTTATTTAATAAAACATAGGTTTCAGTGTATACAGTAGAACCTCGATTATCTACTAATAGAAAAAGAAAAGTATTCAAACAATAAAAATTTTGAATAATTAAACGACACCTTTTTTATATATTTAGTTTATATATTAGACATCGTTTATTTTCAGATTATAGAAAAGATTTTGATTTGATCGTTCTACATATTGTAAATTGTAAATATTGCGTGAAATAGAACTTTTGAAATTTTTCCATTAGGTGAACATCTTTATCCAAGCAAATATTTTCATGACTCAGAGTACAGACTTCATACTATCTTCTCTTTCACTATCATAAATTCACAGAGACATATAATACGTTGTTAAAAAGGTTTTGAATTAATTTTTGGTCTCTACACGTTCAAAAATTGTTTACATTTGCTCAAATTATTAAGATCTCCAAATTTAGTTACGTGATCCAATATGGGATCGAATACATATACTCGAACACTCAAGGATATTACTTGAATGAAAGAACGTTTAATTAATTAGTAGTATTCCGATTATGTTCTGATCATTCGGGGTTCTATTGTATTACGAAATTCGATCAAGAAACTTAACTAATTAAAATAAAACGTCCTACTTATAAATATTTCGATAAAATTAATGCGAATATGATTAAAATTGTATCAAAAAAAAAAAAGGAGAGAAAAAAAAAAAAAAAAAAAAAAAAAATAATGACTAATATACTTATAAATGTAAATAATCAATGTTTTATTAGGTTTGACAGATTAAACGAAAATCGATTTATGACGAAATTATTTTTAAAACGTCGATCATATTTTCCAAACTTCACGAAGTTGATTCGTCGACGAATTACGTTGATATAGGTTTGTAAAATATTCAATTGAAATACTTAGAAATAATTAATTCATTTTAAATGTGGAAATCCATTAACCGGCGCCATCTTCAGAATCGAATATCACTGTTTTCACACAATAAGATAAGAAAGAGTCAGCAGACTTCTCTTACGTCTAATCGGACAGTCACTCTATTTAAAGTATCTTTCTCAACGATTATGGCTAATGATCAGGATGACATCGCGAGATATTTTGAATTTGCGAAAAATTTAACTTTAGAAGCTGGAAAGGTACGCCAATGAAAATACAAAAAGAAAAAAAAAAGAAAAAATACAAAGAAAATTCGATAGAAATATTACACTGACGTTCGTTGTTTGTGTTCTTAGTTTATTAAAAATGTCGACAAATTGGAAAAAATTGTAAAATCAAAAACAATCGAGACAGATTTAGTTACAAACTTTGATCATAAAATCGAAGAATTTTTGTTTAAAGCACTTATCGAGGAATTTCCTGATCATAAGTGAGTAAAACAACATTAATGATAATAATAGTAATATAATCAAGAGAGTAATTTAATGCGAAAGAATGTTTTATCAAAGACATATAAACGATAACACAGATTCATCGGGGAAGAAAAAACCAGCCAGTCGAAGAAGCTTTCAGAATTAACTGACGCACCAACATGGATAATCGATCCGATCGATGGAACAGTCAATTTCGTACATTCTTTCCCACAATTCTGCATTTCTGTAGGTTTATCTATTTGTAAGGAAATAGTCTTAGGAATCATTTATAATCCAATCAATTGTGAACTGTATACGGCAAAAAAGGGTCAAGGTGCGTTCCTAAATGGGGAACCTATTCAAGTTTCCAATGTAACAGGTGAATAAATCTTTACCGCGTTGTACACTTTTAACAATTTCCTTATTTTTTATGATTATCTTTAAATAATAAATCATATTATTATATTATTATTATTGTTATCAATTATATTGTTGTTTTTTTTTAATTTTAGAATTGAAAAAAACATTGTTGGCTTTTGAAGTTGGAAGTATCAGAATGTACGATCAAAAAGACATAGCTGTGGGTAGATTCTTGGCTTTATTCGATGCATGCCAAGCGTAAGTTAATGAAATAATAATAATAATAATAATCAATATATATAATAAAAATCATTGAAAGATCTTTATCGAATACTTTTTAGTATCAGAAATATAGGCTCAGCTGCTTTATCGTTAGCTTATGTGGCTAAAGGCGTAATAGATTGCTTTCAAATGGATGGTCTTCAACCTTGGGACGTAGCAGCAGGAATGTTAATAGTCACTGAAGCTGGTGGTACTTTATTGGATTCGAAAGGTACAACAAACGAACCTAGTTATCTCATATTTAACATTGCCCTTCTTTTTTTTATCTCTCTTTCTTTTTTGCTATATATATTTATATATATCTTTTTTTACTGAGGATTCGTACGTTCACCTTAGGTGGACCTTTCAATCTAATGAAACCAAACACCGTTGCCGCGTGTAAAAGCCAATTGGCTTGCGAAGTAACGAAACTGATAGTTGACACGGACTTGAAGACACGAAGAAAAAGACTTCAACATATGAAGCATTAATTAAAGTTTACTTCAAATATAACTATTGTATCATTTTTAAATAATATAACTGTGTGTTAATAAAATACTTTTATTTCTAAACGTGATAATATTAAGTTTGACTAATTTCATTAAATCTATTGAAAGTATAACAAAAAGAAGAAAATAATTTAAAAAAAACCGAATTGTTAATTGATAAAAAAAAAAAAAAAAAAATACGAGAAAAATCTGTTGCACTGTAAGTTGGTAATCACGAGGTGCGATTAGGTATTAAATACATTCACTAAAGTCTTGTTCCTCTCTAAGATGATTACGTAAATTAAAATTGCATTATTGTATATCATGATGGAATTGATATACTTTATTATCAATTAACTTATCTTAATTAATTTTATACTCGTACTCGCGAGTTTTAATACGCGATGACCTTAAAATGTCTAATTGTAATATGACATTATTTAATACTGCTTATGGTTAGTCGAAACGTATGCAATTAAAATTATCGTAAAATGTAAACATCATTATCTTGTTATAATAATCCGCTTAGGTTTTTTACTACTGTTACAATCGCTAAAAAAAAAAAAGTCTAAAATTTAAATATAAACTATTATTTTTACATGGTATTTTTTTGATATATATATAAGAGATATAATAATAAAATAAAGGATATGAAATCATTTTCGTATAAAATTAAGAAAAAAAGATATTTCCTTGGTCGTTGTCGTAATCATCGTCGTCGTCGTCATAATAATCATTCACTCGAATCTTACCAACACCCTCTCCAAACAAATCATTATTGAAAAGCATAGCAAACAGGTGTAATCGAGACAGTCTAGCTTCGAGCCTTTTCACAAGCTGATCGTAAACGAGTCACGTTCGTTGGGAAAAAATTTAACTAGAAAATGGCAGGACGACAAATCGAAGATGAATATTACGAAATTGCTTTGAATCTTGTTAAGGAATCTGCTAAGGTAATTTTTTGTTTTGTTTTAATTTAATTTCAATCATTTAATTTACACAAATGTAGAAAATGTTCGTACTATTTTATTTTAACATATACTATTGTATATATTGAATTTTGTTCTTAAAGATTCTCAAAGATGCCATTAACGGTTCGAAGAATATACATGAAAAACAAGGGGATTGGGATCTCGTTACTGAGTATGATAAAAAAATAGAGGATATTATAATTAATAAATTAAAGAGTATATATCCCAGTCATAGGTAAATGAGTCAGGTTTAAATAATTATCGTAAATGGTTAAACCCAATGAATACCGAGTAATCGCATAAATAAATAATATGTTTCCTTTTTTCTATTTTCTTTTCTTTTTTCCTTGTATTATTTTTACCGACACTTTAGATTTATCGCTGAAGAATCAACGGGACAGAAATTACCTGAATTAACTAATGATCCTACATGGATCATTGATCCGATCGACGGTACGCTTAATTTTATTCACGGATTTCCACATACTTGCGTTGTTGTTGGATTAGCTGTTCAAAAGGAAATGGTTTTGGGTATTGTTTGCAATCCGATTCAAGAACAACTGTTTACTGCTCGTAAAGGTCAAGGAGCATATTTAAATGGGAAACGAATTCATGTATCACAAGTTCAAGGTAAGTAAAATAAAATCAAAATAAAAGAAATACTCGAAAAAAAAAAAAAAAGAGAAATAATTAATCGTTGAAATAATTTGTATCTCTCTCTTAACAGATATATCGAAAGCTTTACTCTGCATAGAATCTGGTTTTATAAAAATCGATCATTTAAAGGAATTAACCGTTGAACGGGTACAAGCTGTTGCATCTATAGCACAGGGGTAAGATAAATTATATAATAAAAAAATAATATTAACAATAAATTATTATTTAATCATTAAATAATATAACCCTATCATGGTGTATATAAATTTCAACAAATTCATTGTCATTTTAAAAATGAAAAATATCGTCATTTTTGCTCGATCTTATCCTGTGGATATATTGTTTTGAAAAATAATAATAATAATATAAAAAGAAGACCTAGAATGAAAATCAGGAAATTATAATAATTTACTCATAGCTGAGAAGTCCCAAAATGTCGACAATTTGTGTTAATCTGAATTATTTTATGGAAGTATCCGTACACTTGGCGTAGCTGCCTTAACTCTTTGTTACGTCGCATTGGGTGCAGTGGAGGGTTACTACATCGAAGGTCCAGGTATTTCCACGTGGGATATCGCGGCTGCATCTTTAATTATCACAGAAGCAGGTGGTATCGTGGTTGACCGCGTAACAGGTAATTAACGACTGTTTAAAATTTTGTATTTTAATTAAGACCGTTTGATATTTAACAATGAAATAATTTTCGAAATTAACACGTTTATTCCTTCAGAGGAATCCGCGAAATTTATTTTTATTCGCGAATAAAAATAATAATAATAATAATAATAATAATAATAATAATTTAAAAAAAAAATAATTAAATACACAGGTGATAAAATCGATATTATGAAGCCGCGAGCTATCGGTGCTTGTAACGAGAAAATAGCAAAGGAATTCGTTAGAATAATACGTGAAGCTGACGAAAAAGTATCCTTGAGAAATAAATCATAATATTAGAATATATCTCACGTTTTTTTGTCTATATGAATATGCATTTGTTCATGTACGTATATATATTATGGATTTATTAAATATGTAATAATAACATAGAATTTAAATAATATTTCATTTATATTTCAACTATGTGTGTCTGTGTGTGTAAAAATTGGTTCAATTTTGTTTCTAAGAAAATAAATATAAATAAAAATAAATTTTGAAATAAAAATCTAATGATATAATATGAGATGTTTTGTTATATACTACAACCATTGATACTATAGTAAATAATTAAATTATAGTTCTTTTATGCATTATTATACGTAGATTGAGGTAAGATAAAAATTCCCCGAGGTCAAGAAGAAATAAAACAATCGTTCTCCTAGGAAACGCTATTTAAATTATACTTGAGTGACGTGTCTAAGAGATCGCACGCTCACAAAATACTTGGAAAATGTAAATGAGTGTAGTTTTAATTCGAATCTCGGCATGATCTTATATGTTTGAACAAAAATCATGATATATTAATATTTCCAATTGATTTAAACGACAAAGAAAAGTTTAACAACATATTAAAATTATATTAATGTTACCAACAAAATATTATTTGTATATAGAAAATCAAGAATGTATACTTTCGTCGAAAGTAATACTTTATTTTAATCCTACGCTCAAATTGTTTCTTTCTTTTTTATTAACTAAACCTGCTAGATAATATCATTACAAAGCTTCTTCGTTCATATAAAGTATCATCAGAGAGTATTAATGAGAGTATTAAATATTGTGAGATAGAAGAACAAGATATAATATTTGAATATTATAATGTAGCAAAGAAATCAGTTTACTTGATTGAGTGAAAATATTTGTATTGGATATGTGTGTGTACGTATGTGTATATATATAAATTAAAAAAAAATATAGAAATCACTCCTTTAAAGGTCATGGTCACACTAACTCTCACTAAAACGAACCATTTATTTATCCAATGTAAAACGTGAAATATATAAAAACTTATTTCATCCTATTTTTATATTATATTTTTATCCTATTTCTTCTTACTATTATTCGTCTAATTGTGTAGATATTTAAGAAGTCAATAAACAAAACAAAAATTAAAGAATGTAAAAGTATCAACTGGGATCTTATAACGAAGTATGAACATCAGATAGAATATGAAGTAATCAAACAATTAGTTCAAAATTTTCCATCACACAAGTATGTTTAATTAATAACTGATAAAAATCTATACGAAGATAGATAGCAAACTTCTCATTTGTAGAATTATTAGCAAAGAAAGTACAATACAGATTAAATTACCAAAACTATCTAACAATTCAATAGGATAATAAATCCTATAAATAGTACTGTCAATTTTTCCAATCAATTTCCACACGTTTGCATTTCCTTGGTTCTTTTAGAAAATAAGAAAATAAAGATAGGAATAGTTTATAATCCTATCAAAAAAACAATCCTTTTCTACCATACAAAATCATGGAGCATTCTTTAACAGAAAACAGATGAAAATATCCAATATAAAAGATAAGTGCAATTACTTGTTATTTGTGTACCTAAACATTTTCAACAAAAAAAAACAAGATTAAACTAAATAGAAGATATAAAGATTTATGTAATGTTTTAGATTTATCTCAAGCGTTATGTCACTATACTACTATGGTTGACCGAATACAGAATGTATTTAGATAGCGTAACCACTAGAATAACATGCTTAAATTCAAAGAACTTATGGGTAAATATATAATAAAATTAAATAATTTGATATTATATCTTATTAATAATTACTAATATTTTCTTATTCATAAAATATGATTATTAAGAACCACTGCACTTATGTTATATTTAATTGCAATGATGTTGTCGAAACTTATATTGAAGAAATAAAAAGTAGAGATGTGTGTACCTACAGGCAGGAATATAGAAAGAATGCGAAAAGAACTGTGATAAGTACAAATGGCCCACCGTAAACAGAAATCTTTCAATTGTTTAAAATTTGAATTGAACACGAAAGTATAATCATTATATTAAATCACTTTTTTATACGCTATGAATTGGATTTAATGGCTATAAAAGTTATAACAGTTTGCAATCAAACCATCGCAGAGCAACTTGTTAAACTTTTTCAAGAAGCAGATTTTAAACATATCGATAAGAAAGTGTCTGATCTATTATAGTCTAGAAACCATATTTTTATAAATTTCTTTGACAATAAATAGCAATTATTTGATACTTTTCATCTTGGTATAACATCATCGACATCTATTCCATCAATGTAAAAACAATTATATTTTATCATAACAGTTATAAAATAAAAAAAATAAGTTAAAAAGACATGTTACACAAGCTGTACTGTTTTATAAAGAGCGATAAGAATTAAATACCTGAGGACCCATATTAGGTGGCATTTGTTGAGGATGAGGTGGGTAATTTTGTTGTTGTGAAGGTGGTTGTTGCTGAGGTTGTGACATCGGAGGACCACCTGGTGGCATCGGTGGACCACCTTGATATCCTTGCGTTGGACTGTGCGGATGATGTTGTGGAGGACCCATTGGACTACCTTGAGGATTAGAAGGAGACGGAGCCTGTTGTGGAGGACCCATTGGACTCGGAGCTTGTGGCGGAGGCATAGGAGAAGATTGTGGCGATGGGCTCGCCATGCTGCTGCAGTCAGACTCCAGCTTACTCAATAATTATACTACACAAAGATTACAAATTCAAACTATATATCATACTCTTATCAAACTAATAAGAAAATATTAACGTTCATTTTATTATCCTATTTTGTTGCTTCTATATGACAATAATTAATAGAAAATAAAATTCTATTTAAATTGTAATACTTGAATATTTTCAATGATAATTATTTTCAAATTTAATTTGCATTACGCGCGTTATTAATTATCAGAGAAACACACCTCCAACAATCAGTTATTGTAAAAAAAAAAGGCCCATGAATACCAACACAATAAAACTTACATACAATAATTTATTATTATTCTCTGATAATACTAAACAAAACAAATGTGACCAATAACGTTGCTTAAAATTGACACATAATCCTATAGTAAGAAAGTAAACGAATTGAAAAAATGTAAAAACTTGAATATCCCTTTCATTACACTTGGTCGAACCTTACTCAAATTCTAAACTTATCATAATATTCAACTTACCGTCGGTAAAATCAGCTTGAAAAGACAAAACTGTCTAACGAATTTCGACGATCTTGGATTAAACGATTTTAACGTTTTTCTTACAGTTAATTATCCACTACAGTTACCTGTATCCACGAACATTAACGAACCCACGCAGTCGGCCATCTTGAATTTGAGCTTTCATATAGCCAGTCATCGTATAACAAAGACACCCATTTCTTTTAGAACTTTATACACTTATTTTTTCAACAAATATTTTCTACTATATTTCTACAAATAATTAGAAATAAACTAGGTCGTAATTAAAAAAAATCAAATGTCGATGAAGCAGTAGAAAATTGATTTTTACGAAAGTAAGAAATGTCAGAATGACAACGATCGTTTCTTTGTAAACGAACGTAGAGTGACGGTCATTGGACAGAATAAATTCCATTATATATAATCGACAAGAACAATTTTTTATGTTTTTTTTCGTATTAAACGAATAAAAGATTGAAAGACAATCTAATTCGTAAAAAAAATAAAATTGTAATTTTTCGATCGATATTAAAATTTTTTAATTGGAAGTTTATATACGTGCTCTGTAGGTATGAAAGAACTCTATATTATGTATACAGGGTGAACCAAAAGAAAATGGATAATAAATAATAAGATTTATTTTATGGTGTTTGCGTTGGTTATATTAAATCTTATGACTAAATTTATTTAAATTGAATCTTTTTTTTTAATAGTTTAGAGAACCCACAATGGGAAATAATTAAATTTTTTAGTCAATATAATTGTCATGAGATCTTAGAATATATATACTTGCACACAAATGCGCGTGCTTTGATTAGTCGACTGCGTTTAACCATTCTAGGTTGACGTTACAGAGCTTTAACGAGAATGGCTCTTCTTAAAAATTGTATGACATTAAGAGGTTTATTAGTACCAAGAAACAAATTTACATTATTTATAAAAGCTAATTATAGCGAGGAAAGTAAGTATTCTAATGTTGTTATTAAGTTTTGTCACCTTTTAATACTTAACTATTTAATAGGTTATTATTTTATTATGTAAGTTTATATTCATCCAATGACTTATTCCTATTATTTCCTTTTTTCTTTTTATATTTATTTATGATGGTATAAACACATATGTACACTTATAGCATATTAAATTATTAAAATTAATTTTAATCATTCTTATATTTATTTTATTTTGTTTTTAAGCAAGGACAGACTTTAGCTTATGGAGAGCCAAAAAGGAAATACCACAAACGGAAGAAGAAATAAAAGCGGCAGCTAAAAAATATGATTTACATCCACGGGAATACAAAACCTACGAAGATGATGGATTTGGATACGGCGATTATCCAAAACTACCATTTGTTAGTCCCGAAACAAAAGATCCATATTATCCCTATGATTTTCCTGAATTCAGAAGAAATCTTCATGAACCGGTAATAATTTAAATAGTATTAGAATTTAAATTAATTTCATCGATATCATATTATATTAATATTCATGTTTCCTAGGTACACATCGAAGCAAATATAATAGGAGAAGACCGTTATTCAGCTGGAGTTCGACAGCCAATGTCACCTGTAGGTGCATCATTAATGTTCTTTAGTACGGTAGCAATCCTTGGCGGATTGTTTTACTTGTTTTCATTTTACCCATGGTTCCAACCTATAGTAAGTTAGCAATATTATCAAAATTATGTATATTATTTAAACATATCCATTAAACACACTCATTTATAAATATATATTATTCTTTTAGATGGAAAAGCAATACTCTAAACCTGGTGTAACTCATTATACTTTTGAGCCGGTTAAAACTAGTTAATTATAAATTATGAAATGTTACAATGCTTTGTAGTCATTAACCATGTATGTATAAAAAAATATATTTATGAAATCCATCATTTATATTTAAATTTATTAATATTTTGTTAAAAATTATATTTCATTTATATACAGAGAAATGCAAAATTTTATTTATATTCAATATAAATTTGTCAAATTGTATACTATAGTATTTTTGTTTTGACTACAGTTGATCCTTTAACATGCAGCGCCATCAATGACCAACTTTCAAAACTTACATTGCATTACCATTGCAACTTATTTTCAGTTATATACTATTAGACCGTAGTGATATTTTACAAGGATTTGTGTTAAGAATAAGTTAATGTTTTATAATTTATAAAATGGGTAAAGAAAATGATACAGATAATTCCAAAAAAAGGAGAAAATCTATCAGCACTGGTACTATTCCGTGGCTAAAAGATGGAGACATGTATAAGGTTAACTTTCATTTCATTAATCTCATCAATTTCATTTATCAATAATAATATTTAAAAAATAAACTTTTTTTTTTAACATAAAAATTATATTGTTTAGACTATAATCACCAATGAAGAAAAAGAGGCTTTGGAAAGATCACCCGAAAGTGATTCGCAAAGTTTCTTATCTACATGTGAAAATATCCGGAAAGCCATGAGTAAAATTGCTAAATTAAAAATGAGCAATGATTCAAACGTATGTATTACAATTTATTGCAGAATTTTTCTTTTGTTATTATCAATTAAGTTATAATTTATAGTGCAAGTAATAATAATATTTCAGGCAGAGGAAGAAGTACATGAGTTACAAGTTCAAACATCGTTATCATTTATTGAATTAAAGAAACTCAATAGGATGGAGAAGTTTCGTACTAAGTTTGCTCGAGATTCTTTAGTTGCGGCTAAGAGTAGTGTCGATAGCAAGCATTTACAATTACAGAATTTATTATACGAGGTCATGCATTTAAAAAAAGAAGTTATTAAATGTCTACAATTTAAGTATGTTTTCATTTTGTATCTTTTATACAAAGCGATTGATAAATCACAAATATGTTAAATAATATGTGTATTTTTATTTTTAGATCAAAAGATGAGTTGATACAACTTGTACCGGAAGAAGAATTTTATGGAGAAGCACCTGAAAGCATATCTAGACCAGTAAATTAAAAAAAATAAAAAGAAGAAAAAAAATACTCAATATTTCTATTGTAAACATTTGTTTTAGGAAATAACAAAAATGAACCCGCATCAATTAAGATTAGCTCGACTTGAATGGGAATTGACTCAACGGAAACAGCTAGCTGCTTTATGCGATGAATTAACTGAAAGTAAGAAAGCAGTTACAGCCGATATGGAATCTAAACAAACTAGATTGGATAATCTTGCACCACAACTTCTAGCCATACTAGAAGTAATTTCTTTTTATCTTTTAATATACTTTTATTCTATTCTATATATATTTATGAATATATTTTTGCAGGCAAGTAAACCATTGCAAGAAAGTCTCGGATTACCTTTAGATAAAGTTAGACAAGAACATCAGAAAGCAGCTTTGCTCGCATCACCTTTATATGTACTTTATGCAAAAGCAACTGCATATCGAGATGCATATGGTACGTTAAGTGTTATATATTCAAAATGAATTATTTTTAATATTAATCAATTGTTTTGTAGATAATACAATTATCATAAAAGTGGAAGGAGACAAAGACGAAGCAAAGCGTACAAATAATCAAGATGGATTACAAGAATCAGATTCAGATCCTGAAACTCAGTTAGAGAATATCGTAGAAGAAACACCTGTACACAAAAAAAGACATCACAGATTGTCTAAAGAAGCTAGACAAGAAGAAAAAAGATCTAAATTATTGCAGAGGCACCCTTTAAACGTAACACTTGTCATTTCAATGAAAAGTAAGTGATTTTATAATTTAAAAAAAATATATATTAGATAATTTATAGAGAAATTTTTGCTACGAATAATTTATGGCGATTATTTTTCAGCTGAAACCAAATTAACGTTACAATTCTTTTATATGATACATTTAAAAGTGGTTACGGTAGAATCTAAACTCGAAACTGATGTTTCTGGAGGCATTAGTGCTGGGTAATCTGAATTTGAATATACTATTTATATATGATCCTGGATTTATATTAAACCAAATGCATTTTTTCCAACAGAGACATGCTCGTATCAGAATCAGTTCTTCGTGAATTATATCCCAATGATTTGGGTATAGAAAGTCCAAATCCTGCCAATCATTATCAACTAGCGCGTCACAATTTAGGATCATTTTCAAGTCTAGGATTAGGTATTCCTTATAGATGGGCTCAAAGGATGGCTGGGTTGCATTTTATTTCATCTAACTCTCACGATCAAAAGGTAAATTCTTTTATATGCTGCATATTAAATTAATATTTAACAATCTTCTTACATTATATTTAATTTATAGCCTACCGTTCAAGAATCAACGCAAGATAGTGTTGTAAGCGTTCTGAAAGAAATAAAAAGACGAGTAAAAGCTAGATTAGAATTATGTCGAGAAATTCGTCGATTGGAATCTGGAAATTTACCTATTCTTATAAATACCGTTAATCCACTGCCACAAAAAATTACAACTTCGTTGCATAGATTTACTACTATGACATGGAAAAATTATTCTAATTATACTAGCGCACCCATTTATCGAGAAGGATTGGTATCATCTGTTGATATCTTTTATGAAGCTGTATTACGTCGTGGAAGCAGTATGTAATATTTTTTTTTTATAATAAATTTACTTATATATAAGTTATTAAAGTATAAAATATTTTTCTAGGTGAACTCATAGCTAGGATTGCTATAAAACCAGATTATCCAAAAGTAGCTGCGTTGTTCAGCATAAGCATAAGTCCTATGGTTCCTGCATCGGTTGATATTTTAAGAGACATTGAACGGGAAGTTAATGTTATGTGGACAAAACCTCCGACGATATCAGCACAATTACAACGTTTAAGAGCATGCTTCGATATATATTTGGAAACGGAAAGTATGGCACCTAAAGAAAAAATCTTTTTCCACCCTGTCAGAGGACGTACACGTGCAAGGCCTTACAAATATTTGGCATTAGGAGGAGGAATATTCACTCATCGTTAGTTATAGACCAATTATTTTTACATTTAATTTTGAGCTATAAATATTAAAAAAGAATTTTTATTTAAAAATGTTTAGTTATTTTTATTTTGCAATTGTTATTTAAATAGCAATTGATGTGATTGGTAATGTACTCTTTATTCTGGAAACGCTGATGAGATAATTTCTTAGCATATATCTTAGGTGTTTGTTTTCTGCCAATAACTTGTTACATTCTTTCTTCATTGAAATATTTTCAACCTTTATATAATTGTAACGCATCCAAAATTTTTCCAATTTTTGAAATGGTTTAGATATCTATGTATGTATATATTTACATAAATAGTTAATAGAAAATTTTTAAAAATTTACTAAAATTTGTACAATTTTATATGAACACTCACGCAATGTATGGTTGATTCTTCTACAGGATCTATGTTAGAACAGATATACATTTTAATAGATGCTGATAAAGGTTCTAGTTCTGAGCACAATTTCATCAATGATAACAATGTAATACTTTTTTCATTAATTTTTTTCAAATCCTGTAAAAATAGAAAAAATATAATATAAGATTAATTAGATTAAGTAATTAACTTTGTTTTTCACCTTAATGACAGTATTACAAACAATGCTTAATTTTTTTAACTGTTCAGATTGTAAAATTTGATCCGTTCTAAAATTTTTTTTTACTGTTAATGATTTATGGCTTGTAAATTTCATCTGACATCTTAACTCGGTAATGCTAGACTCCCTTTTTTCTAATAAACTTTCTGTGTCATTTTTTAAAGTATTTATTTTATTTTGCAATTGTGTAATTAATTTTGGATATTGTGTCATTTCTGCTAGATTAGTATCATCCTGTTCTTTCAATAATTCATATTTTTTCCTTTTGATTTCCGTAGTCGTATTATACTCTAGCATTATTTCATTTAATTGTTTCGATAAATTTTCTACTTTAATAGAAATTTTATTTTTAAGTTCTAACATCATATTTTTTCTCTGTAAATAAAAATTAAAATATACATAAAATATATAGTTAGTGTAAATTTTTAAAGCAAGAACTATTAAAATTTTGCTTACCAATGAAATTAAATTACAAATATTAACAGCATTTTGTGAATTAGTCCTTGCTAATATTTTTTCCAATTCTACTTTCTCATTCACGATAATCAATTTGATTTCGTCACAAGTTTTTTCCATATGTGATTTTAATTTATTCAATTCTACTGTATCTTTACCTTGAATGCTATGCACTTTATTAATGTAATCGTCACATAAAGCTCTAAGTTTCTGCGCGTACAGTTCTAAAAATAATGTTCTTTTTCTTTTCAAATATTTACATATTTGAAAAATTGCAAATACAATAATTACCAATAATTTTGTCTATAATTCCAATATGAGCTTCTTGCAATCTTCTATGATCAATATCTGCCATTTCTATTTCTACATGCAACAGCTGTATTATTTTATCCTTAGTATTAATCATTCTATCAAAATTTTTCCAAAGATACTTAATATCTTCATAAAATTCTTTACATTTAATCTGACGAAGAATGAATCGCCACTGTTCGTTTATTTTTGCTGTATTCAATCTTGAAAAAGCTTCTTCGCGTTTCAATTTGTTCTAAATAAAAAATTCCTTAATCGTTACTTTAAAGTAAAAATATAACCAATATTTTAATCATATATATATATATATATATATATATAGTTTATTGTCGTAGGTATATTACCTTACTAAAAATTGCTATCAATTGTTGTTTGCGTCTTTTCGCTTCTAATTCTAATTCTGCACGATGCTGCATATAACGAGCACGTTCTTCCTCGCTCATACGAGCGAATTTACTAGCTTTACCTTTTCTTTTTGGCGGCATTATATTTTTTTATTTATTTATTTATTTATATATTAAATTATTACTTAATATATATTTATCAAATACGAAGGAGAGATATATATATATATATCTTTCGACCTAATACAATGTCTGGATGTATAAATAATACTTGTTACAATATATTTGTATCTTATAAATCTAAGTTAAATTGAAAAAACTTATAAAAACTGATTTCCACGATATGTTTCAGTACTGATAAACACACGTAAATACGTAACTTGTACTACTGTATCGTCCGCAATAATGTAATAGTTCTGTATTTGTTTGATCAATTCTGTCATCACCAATGCATTCACACATGCATGTATATTATATAGTATGTGTGTGTATATATTATATATATATATATATATAAAGTTGGAAGAATATAAATTATTTTAACCATATATATAAATAGCTATAAAAATATCGACATAGATCTTAAAAAAAATATCGCAATTTTTATATGTAAAGTTAAATAACAATATTATGTTAAATATTCTGCATATCATAATAATTAATACTTATTGTAACTTAGCTATGCTAACGGCGCTAAAACATTATACAAAATTCATATTTATGTACAAGAAAATTAATTTGTTATTTGTTCGTTATTAGTTTCATTATATATATTAAATCATTATCGTTATCATATGTATATATATGTATATAAAACAAATTCTTATGCACTTTGGCTAAATTTAATAACGTGGCAAGTTTGGAGTAAGGAACTATAGTGTTAATACCCTGATAAAAGATACATCAAAATGTTGTATATAATATCAATATGTTTTTTCATAATTATACCTTTGTAGTAAAAGAATTTCATTTCAATTAATACAGACGATTATAGAAATAGTAACAGCTCCTTTTCTTGCTTATTCAGTATGTAATAACATACATCATCAACAATTATTTTGCAAGGTCATCGATCTATGATCAAATTTTTCCACAGATAACGGTCTCTCCTTCGTAGTCGGTATAAAGCTTTGTGTACGTCTAATTTTTTCTCCGCTCTTTAACGGACGAGTAACAACAATTTGCGCTTCTAATAAAATTTGTGCCTCCTCCGCACGTTTTACCTTTTGTTGTGCTGCACGAAGCTCTGCATCTAAACTTTGCTTTTCAGCCTCCAACATTTGTAATCGCATTTCTGCATCTGTAAATAAATGCTATTGAAAAGTTTTTCAATTTTTAATATATAAATATGAAAATTAACGATACGCACCTCGTAGTTGATGTTCATTTTCTTGCTGTTTGCGCTCGAATTCTAACCTTTTCATTTTTTCCAGTTCTAATAAATCTTGTTGTTCCTGTTGTAATTTTTCTAATTGCTCTCTTCTTTCCCATTCTTCTCTAAGAACTCTCGCTTGAAGATTTCGAACTGTGTTACAAAATATAACAGAGCATTTGATAAATACTTTTAAAGGAAATAAAAGATTAAGAAATACAGGATGTATTTGTCACCTATTTCTTCATCTCTCAATGCTTGTTTTTCCTCTTGCAAAAGATTTTCTAATTTTAATTTAGCTTCTTCCAATTCGTGAACCTTAGCTCCTTCCTCTTTTGACAATGCTTCCAATTTTCTAGCTTGAATTTCTGCTGCAATTCTAGCTTGCCTTTCAAATTGCAATTCCAGTCTTGTTTTCTCTTTTTCTTGTTTCACTGACTAATAATTATAAAAATGAATATACATATAAAATAACAAATAATATATATTCGTTTTAATAACTTACTTGTCTTAAAGATCTCCTTTGATTAGCTAAACTTCTTTGATAACCAATTTTTTCACCGGAATGTTGAATAGCAATTTGCAAAGCTGCCAACCATTGTAATCGTCCTTTGTGATCATCTGCCACTAATTCGATAGCCCTGTGTTCAGGTGTACTTAGTACGAATCTTCTATCAGGTTTTCCACCAGTAGTAATTGCATCGGCCCAACAATTTGTACTCAATATTATTGAACCCGATGGTTCCCTTTGCTGAGAATCTTTAAAATATAATAATTCACCAGGACGAAGAACAAACCAAAAATACTTCAATGTTGGAAGTAAGAAACCTTTCTTCATTAAATATCCCTGTAAAAATATATGTTAACCGATAAATGTTATTCTTAAATTATATTTTTAAATAACAATGAATATCTTACCTTTTTGACCACATTTTCTATGTATATTTGATAAAGATCATCAATAGCTTCAGTCAATGCTATGTTATCCGAAGTTCTTCCACCGCTGTATTTGGATTCCAAAACTGCCAGGAATGTAGGAAACCTTCCAAAAGTATAATTAAATGAAATTTTACAAATAGTTTTTCTACAATGATAAATAATTCAAATCACATATACAAAATACCTAAATGTTCCAATAGCTGCTGATAAAGCTGAGAAATCTGCTGCATCCCATTGCAATCCTAACGATGTTACCAAATGAGAAGCGATTTGAGCAACTTCATCTGTATGCATTGCAATCTAAATAAAAAATAGTAAGAACCATAAGAAAAGCGTATCTTAAAGATAATTTAATAAAGAATAATAAATCATTATGAGAGAGATTGTACAAACCATATGAAAATCCATGTTATCTGATTCCGGTTCAGCCAATAAACAGAATACTCTAAATAATTGATAGACACTATTGGGTTCAAATATTGGATGCGATCTTTCTAAATACATTCTTTTACAAATTAACCAACATATTTCATCGATTCCTTCTTCCAATGACCTGTGTATTTGTATTGAAGTTGCATCGGTAATAGATGAGAAAACCTATAATATAATTAATTAAAGATAATAAATTTGTTAAATAATATGAATAAAATAACGCTAAAAGAAAAAAAACAAATGATTATACCTCCTTTTGTAAATAAAAAATGTATTGGTCAAAAGTGAGACTCTGAGTACTGCGGTAATGTTCTAGACCTTTTTCAACACCATATAAGTCCATTAACGTGCCGATGTTGGCTGTTAACACCTGTAGAAACAAAAAAAAAAAACAAAAATCAAACGTAGAAGAAATGGATATACAAAAATATTCTTATAAAAATACGATGTGAATTAAGTAGCCACACCCGAATATGTGAAAAAACGATACAATCCCATAAATCTTTAGCTTCCAAAAGTCGTGAGAAATGAAATAAAAAAGTCAATATCAACAAAGAAAAACAACAAGGATGACTCACCTTCAACTTTGATTTAGCGACAAGATCAGGTGTATCACCTTGCAACGCGTGAAACGCGTGCCAAATACTATTCGTCACATTTTTTAGTAGATGGGTCATTATTCCGACGAATACGAGCAACAGGTGTTTCTCTTACGATGCTTCTATATTCTCATCGTCGTAGAACATATCGAGCACTGAACATTACCCTGTCACTGTGTGTGTGTTAGTGAATGGAATAGTACATGCAACGCCTCCGTTTGTCATTTCTTTTAACTTTATTAAAAACCTCCATTAAATTTCACGTTTTCTGTGAAAATAAATATTTTTTTTTTTTTTTATCAACGAGATATAACGTAAATTTAAATTTATTCAATTTAATTATATCGATTATAAAAAAATTTTAATATATAAGTGTTGTATTTAATAAAATGCATATAGTGTGTTTTAAAATTTGTTGCGATTATCGCGGGCAAGTGAATAGCCAATCAAATTACAGCCGCCATATTGGAATAGAAAGTGCATTGGGAATGTAAACATAACCATAAATTGTACATGTGCTTCAAGTGATACATGGTGGATTGGTTAACATTTTTTACAGTGCGAATTAATGTTAAATAATTAATTATGTCTCGATTAATTGTAAAAAATTTACCTAAGAGTGTAAGTAATTTCAATATTACATTTTATTAAAATAAATGTATAGTTATTTTTATAAGTTCTTTTTATATTAATAGGTTACAGAGTCCAAATTGAGAGAACTTTTTAGTGAAAAAGGTTTTGTTACCGATATACAATTGAAATATACAAAAGATGGAAAATTCAGGCGTTTTGGTTTTATTGGATTCAAAACAGAAGAAGAAACATTAAAAGCTAAAGAATATTTTGATAAAACTTGCATAGATACTTGCAAAATATCTGTTGATCTGTGTGCTGATTTAGGTAATAGTATTAAAAATGGTATTATATATAAAAAAATTCATGAAAGAAAAATTATTTAACAACAAAATTTAAATCAGGTGATCCATCAAAACCAAAATCATGGAGTAAATATGCACCGGATAGTTCTTATTATAAACAATTAAACGATAAAACCAAAAATGATACAAATGATGGAGATGGTAATGAAAATAAAACTCGTAAGGAAGCAAAAAAGAAAAAGAAGAAAAATAAGGAAGAACAGTCTGCAGAAGTTAAAGAAGCCATTGCGAAGGTATGAGTCTTATGATATTTCTAAGCGATACTATTTTATCGTAGAAGATATAAATAATATAATTTTCATTTAAACATAGCATAAAGATGATCCCTTGTTCATGGAATTTCTTGAAAGTCACGCAGTAGCAGATTCAAAAAAAGTTTGGATCAATGACGCTGTAATCAAAACTATAGCGAACCCAGAAGATAAAGAAAATGGTGAAAGCAATGATTCTGCTCACAAAAGTGATGAAGAAGAAAAAGAAGAAGATAAAGAAATAAAAGAAGAAAAAGATGAGAAGGAAAAGATTGCTAATACAGTTATATCAGATTTAGAAGTAAGTTGTTAATTAAAAGTAACTTTTTATATTTTATTTTATCAATTTATAGTATAATAATTGTTTTTATTGAATAGTATATGGAAGCGTTAAAGACAAAAACACCAACTGTTAACAAGAAAGAAGTATCTGCATCAAAGCACGGTCCTGTAAAGTTTTTTACAGTAAAATTACGAGGATTAGGATACAACCATAAAAAGAAACACATAAAACAATTTTTTCATCCCTTAAAACCAAAATCTATACGCGTACCACCGAAAATCAAAGGGATAGCTTACGTTGGATTTAAATCTGAACAGCAAATGAGAAAGGCTTTATTAAAAAATAAAAGTTTTTTTGGTAAGAATACTATGAAGAAATTTAGTAAATTTTTCTTTCACAATTAAAAATTTATAGATTTTTATTATTATTTCTTAGATGGTAAACAGATATTTTTGGCGAAATACGAAGAACATTTAGAAACTAAAGAAGATAACAATACAGAAACTAATAATTCTAGTGTTAAATGGATAAAGCAAGAAGAGTCATTAAAAAATGAAGAAAGTATAGCAGAATCCGGAAGAATATTTATACGAAATCTGACTTATACGACAACGGAGGATGACATCAGGCAACTATTTGAAAAATACGGTAAATTGAATTTTTTCTTTTTGTCATCTATGATAATACCTTTAGATATTTATTAATACAACATTAATTTAATTAGGTCCCTTAACCGAAGTTAATTTACCCGTGGATCGGATTACCAGAAAACCAAAAGGTTTCGGTACAATAACGTTTTTAATGCCTGAACATGCTATCAAAGCTTATACTGAATTGGATGGTTCTATCTTAAATGGTAGAATGTTACATTTGCTTCCAGGCAAAGCACAATCTTCTTTATTGGATCATGTTGACCTAGGTAGATGTTTTAAATATAATATAATTTAAAATTGAAAGGGATTGAAATTTTCATTGCTTTTTGTTCCTTTTCTTTTTCATATAGAAAATTTACCTTACAAACAGAAGAAAGAAATACAAATTAAAATGAATGCAAATTCATCTCACAATTGGAATACATTATTTCTGGGACAAAATGCTATTGCTGAGGCAATAGCTGCGACATACAACACGACTAAAGAACACGTATAAAAATTTCAAATTATACTATTCTTTCATTTTTTAATGTTTAAAAATTAAAAATTTGTTCACACAAATGTTTTATGTTTCTATATGTCATTTAATATTAAAGGTACTGGAAGATGAATCCAACGGTATGAGTACCGCCGTTAAATTAGCGTTGGGTGAAACACAATTAGTACAGGAGACAAGAAAGTTTTTGGAAGAAAACGAAGTTTGTTTGGACGCATTTAATCAAGTAAATTAAATTTATAAATTATCTAAACATTTTACACTTATGTTAGATAAAATAATTATACTAATTGTAATTTTATTTGATTAGCCTTCAGAAACACGATCGAAGACTATTATATTAGTAAAAAATTTACCAGCTGGTACGCAGTCTAAGGAAATTTATAACATGTTTTTTAAATATGGAGAACTTGGAAGAGTTGTTATGCCACCATCAGGGATAACAGGTTTAATATAATATTTTAGTACTATAGCGGAATCAATAAAATAATATTACACGTGAGATATAAACAAAAAATACTAATTTGTAAATTTTTCTCATTTTCCAGCTTTAGTGGAATTTTTAGAACCGTCAGAAGCACGCAAAGCATTTACAAAATTAGCATATACTAAATTCAAACATTTACCACTTTATCTGGAATGGGCGCCAGATAATAGTTTCATGAAAAAACTTAGCGAATCGGACAGAAGTAAAAATAAAAATAACGTTAACAATAAATTGCCGGACACAGCATCCATAGAAATGAAAGAAGTAGAAAAAGATGAGTCAAATAAAAAACATTCGAATGAAGAAAATAAAGAAATAGAAGATGACGACGAAGAGCCTGAGCCGGATACAACTATTTTTGTTAAAAATCTAAACTTCTCGACTACCGAAAGTGCTTTGAAAGAGGTATTTTATATTAAATCTATATTTTCTTTCTCATAAACGTTCATCAAAACATATAACTGTAATTTTTCAGTATTTTGCTAAATGTGGCCCCATTCATTACGTCATGATAGCCACTAAAAAAGATTCAACAAATCCTGGTGCAAAATTGTCCATGGGTTATGGTTTTGTTAGATATAAATATCAGCACGATGCAAACCGTGCTTTAAAAACATTACAAATGACGGTACTTGATGGTAAAACTCTGGAATTAAAAAGATCTGAGAGAACACTCGCGTATGTTTATATTGTTACTAAAAATATATCTGTGTCTGTGTTTATATATGTGTGTATGTGCGTGCGTGTGAATAGTATGTCTTTATTATAATTTTATTAAACTTATTTAGGAGCGATGTTAAAACTGCAAAAAAATCATCCAAGGTAACACCACAAACGGGAACAAAAATTTTAGTTAGAAATGTACCATTCCAAGCGACAGTCCAAGAAATTACAGAATTGTTTAAGTGCGTATTTATATTTTATTATACTACATATATTTTTGTGTCTTTTAGTTTAACTACTTTGTTGCTTTATATTTATAGAGCATTTGGAGAATTGAAAGCTGTAAGATTACCAAAAAAATTGGTAGGCGCTGAAAAACATAGAGGATTCGGTTTCGTTGAATATTACACGAAAAGCGAAGCCAAGGTAATGAATTATCGAATTGTATGCAATCATATTTATTATTTTAATACTTTAAGTTTAAAGAAGTTCAATTGTTGTATCGGTTTAGAGAGCATTCCAAGCATTATGTCAGAGTACTCATATGTACGGCCGAAGATTAGTATTAGAATGGGCTCAAAACGAAGAGACTGTTGAAGAAATTAGGAAAAGAACTGCAAAACATTTCCACGGAGGTATGATATATATTTTTAACATCATTTGCGATCACTATAAAAATATTTATTAATAAAATATTTGTTTCTATATTTATAAAAAAAACTATTACAGAGAGTCTGACAAAAAAGAGTAAAAAATCAGTCTTGAATCCTGAAACGGTCGGATTAGAAGTGGAATGAATAATTTAATTCTATTCATCGATATGCGAAGTTTGTATATGTATATATTGTAATATTTATAATGTATAGTAAATATTAATTTGTATACTATTGAAATAGTATTATAAACGATATTAATCGTCTCGTAGATAGAAATGAAATAATTAAAACATAATATTAATTTTATATTAATTTACTTAAACAAAATATATATATATACATATATATGTACAATAATTTTGTTTATATCATTATAAATGATCTAAATTTTTAATTAAAAAAAAATTAAGAATGACGGCCTTTAAGACCATGAATTTGACACGTTTACTATCTTTTGGCAATGATTCAAAAAGAAAGTTAATACGGTTTTCGAACCACGATAAATACTATTCACATTGACCTTCGTCTCACGTTTATATGGAACTTTTCTTTCTCTTACTTTTCACGAAAACAATGCAAGATGTGGTTTCTAAAAAGAGAAGTACAGTGTCACGCGAATTGCCTCTCTCTTATTTTCATTCTATCTACTTGGCAATCGTAATGAGTTGGAATAATTCGATGTATTTAGGTTTTACGACACCCTCGTTTTTTCTTATGTGAGTTAACGTGCTCAAGTGGCATGAAACAGTAATTCAAACCCACGTTAGAAATAGTTTCAACGATCATTCATCGTTACAGATATTAAATTGAACGTTCCTGTATATATTGAAATGTAAATCATTCGTTTGTTTATTTTCATCATTAAATGTTCTTTTTTTTTTAACGATAAATATATTTAATCTAAAAAGATTATCTAATTTTTGTACCTATATTTAATTTTCTTCAAACGAAGTGAATGATATGATAACTGGGTTCTCGAAAGACAACAAAAGGGAGATATTCATGGAAGGAGGATAATAAGAAAATAAATATCTTCCTTTCACCTCTCCCAGTTGAAGTACGAGCAAAAAGGGACCCGATGCCTATGGAATGAAAATGCGGATCGACTGGTGGGGCCCCTTGTGTATATCGAAGGTGATAGCTATGGTTGGAGGTGGAGACGGCCCATGAAAGTAACAGTGACTCTCTTCGACTCGTCCACCTTCCAACCGATCGCAAGAAGACCTCGTCAGTTGTACGTTCTTCGTCCTGGAGAACAGTGCTCGCGAATATTTATCCACCATACATACGTATTTATGTGTCCTTCGGTGTCATCGACCATTAACAAGGTCGCGCGTTGTGCTCGTCCAAAAAATAAATTAACAAACGGATCGACAAATAAATTATATTAATAAATAAATTATATATAGAGAGAAAGAGCTACAGTGCACATTGGTGCAACACAATGTGCCTGAGCGTAGTTTTTTGAAGACAAATTTAACAGACAATAAATTGTTAATTTTTAAGAAGAAAAAAGATGGATTGGGTAAGATTAGAAAATGAAATTTATTAAATCAAAATATAAATATACGACTCTCGTTCTCTCATATATGTTTAATACAAAGAAGGGGGACATCCCCTTTCGTTTTACGTTTACGAGCATAAAAGGAGAACGTTTTAAAGCGTGAAACATGCTCACGAGAGTGAAATACGTTTTACGTTCTATCGTAAAATCCTTTTCTGTTATGTTTTATTCTATTTTGTCTTACTATAACTCTCGTCGTCTTATTTCTCTCACTCTGGCATAAATTTCATAATTATGCTTTAAGAAACGAGTAGTAGTGAATTATCATCGACGATAATGTATATAACGCTTCTTGTATTCAGATGTGATTTCTACAATTTCTCTTTTATAATAAGAGAATTAATAATATAAATATATTATTATCCGTATACTTATAAATTCCCAGCTAATGAACAACGTTTTATCGAAGACCGATTAGATTTGAATTACGTCCTTTTATAATCCATTCACGTAATTATTTTGTAATTAATCATAAACATTGTGAAAAATATAATACAACAACAAAACAGATCCTCACGCTCTTTAACGCAATACTTTCTCATCGCTTTAAATCTTTTTAAATAATTGTTAGAGTAGCCTGAGAACGGAATTGTTAAATGCAAACTCTTTCTGAGGATCCCTATCGATGACACAAATCAATTTTCTTCGTGAAAACATTGAAACGAGACGAATTATAATAAGAAAAAACAAGAAAAGAAATGAAAAATTCTTGAAATTATTCGAGATCCATTTCGGATGGGTTTTTATCTATCTATCCACACTTGTAATAAATAAATACCGTATTGATTGAACGTTTACGATCGCGACCGGCTTGTTAAATTATTTTGGTGGGGAAATTTACCGGTTATTCGAGCTGTCCAATGCTATTCGTCTCGTTCAAAGTTGCACTACTCCGCTTTAAGTTGCCACCAAGACGACGCGTGCTAAGCAAAGAAGGAGCGAACCCGTGCCTCTGGCTATTCGATTGCAAAATCAAACAGCATGTAACGATTCTCTCTCCTCCTATCTTTTGCTATATATACGTAAAATTATAATAATATCGAATTGTCCTTTTTCTTCGATCTAATGTTAACAACAAAATTATTACCTTTTTTTTTAAACGGAGAACTCAAAAATAATTTATACGAACGTTGTTACATTAACGGTATCATATCGTATAATTATACGAATTATACGAAAGTTAATTTAATTTTTATCCTTTTCACCTTACAAGCGACAAATTATATACTACTCGAATTTAATTTAATAATTTTCCTCTTACTTTTTTTTTTTATAAAGACTATAAAAAATTCATCCGCTCCCCCAACCCCCTCTCTCCTCCTTGTGCAAATTTATAAAAGTAAAAAATTGTACCGTTCGAATTTAATTCGATTTTCTATTTCTTTTCTCTCTCTTTCTCTTAATTTTTGTCCACGGAATTTGTAAAAAACAATTTCATCGAAATCGAATAACTTGGCACGAATGGAAAGCGAAAGAAGAAAGTTCGAGGTCATTCTTTCGACGAGATGATAATTTTAAAATTCCATATTTAGAATGTGACAGTAGATTTTAGTTTTATTTAAATTGAACTAACGATCAAAAATAAATCTCGATGTAATCGTTAAAGGATATCAAAAAGGGATCAGAAGAGAAAGAGAGAGGCAACAAAGTTAGCTGCTGGTTGCGATATCATATTTCCGGGGCTTGGCAGGTTTTCCACAGAGGTACACGACGATGTGCAAGGAACGCAAGCTGAAAAAAAGTTCCCTCTTGCGAGGTAACATTGATTAGAAGAACGAGAAAGTCATTTTGCGCAACGTGTAATTCTGGTTCTCCGTACTCGAGATTTTGAGAGGTTTACCTTTCGACAACGTTTTGCGTATTTGGTAAATCAATTATCGTGGATTGTGCGTAGGTTAACAATGATTTCTAAAAAAAAAGAATCGGAAACAAATTCTTTCAATTTAAATTGGAAACTATGTCATTATAAAACATTTAAATTCGTTTGATTCAAAAAATAAAATATAAAATCATATTTAAAACAATTCGAACATGAATTCGTTATTAATGTAGTACCGTGTAATTATACTGATAGAAAGGAAATAAAAAAAGAAAGAAAGAAAGAAGCGTAGGTTAACAATGATTTCTAAAAAAGAATCGAAAACAAATTCTTTCAATTTGAATTGGAAACTATGTCATAAAACATTTAAATTCGTTTGATTCAAAAAATAAAATATAAAATCATTCTTAAAACAATTCGAATATGAATTCGTTATTAATATAGTATCGTATAATTATACTGATAGAAAGGAAATAAAAAAGAAAGAAAGAAAGAAGTAACCTTTAACGAGAAAGAAAGAGAAAAGAAATGCATCAGGATAATTGCAGACTCTCGGTGTAGTTTCCATCGAGTACTGTGACCTTCAAATTTATTCGCGACATCTTTGTGACCTTCGCAAATGTATAAAATACACAGAAACACACCGTATATAGAAACGAGCATCCTATTTGAAATGGAATGCGTGAAAGGAAAAAGAAGGTGCGTCGTTATGTTTGACTTAATCTCGGGACCAAAAGTTCGACCACGAATGGTAACTAGTAAAGGTCGGGGAAAAAACGGGGGGNGGAGGGGCAGGGGGAGGGGGGAGAGGAGAAAAAAGATGAAGGAATGGTGAAGGAGAAAAAGAAAAGAAGGATAAGAGATGAAAAATGTAAATAACTTCTCTCTAACGTGTGCGAGGACGGTCAGTGGCTGACCTTTCGAATCTTTCTCTTTCTCTTTCTCGTTCTCTCTCATTTTTCAAAAGAAAAAGACACGTTGTTTTTTATACCATCACCTTTACTGCTATTTCTTTTTTTACTTCTGTTTTTTTTTTCCTTTTATATATATATATATATCTATTATAAGATTCGTGTCAACGATCATATATATCTAATTATAATCACGTTTTTCATTTCAAAATTGATTTTCTTTATTCATTCGAATAAAATATTTCAAATAGAAAAATATATTGAACAATTAATAAATAAGTATCGTAGGGAATTTGGATATTAAAAAGAACTAGAACTTAGTTTTGATTAATTCGTCCTTTTATTGGGACTTCTTCAGCAACTTAATCTCTGAACTTTAGAGATTAAAAATTAAGCTCTAGTTCTTTTTTAATGTCCAAATTCTTTAAGATACTTATTTATTAATAATTTTATTTTTGGAGACGAGAGAAATAACTAATTGAATATTGAGCAATTATTACGTGGTCATTTTATATATCTCAATACAAATTTATTAAAAATATATTCTATAACATATTTGTTAGAAAATAATGCACGTCAAAGGATATTTTAAATATTTTTATCATTGCATATAAAATAATGTTGAAATATTTTTAAAGAAAACATATATGAATAATTTTATAATTATCATGTATGCATGTGTGTGTGTGTGTGTAAGATATCCGTAAATGTGTTATTTCTTAGCTATTTTTTTTCTTACATTAATAATCTACACAGTCTATTGGTAATGATAAACAAAAAAAATAGAATTTAATTACTGACACAATCGGCTGATTAATTTCCTATTAAAGAGAGCGAGAGTCCGGCTATGAGAGGCGAATTCCATGGAAAGTAAAAGTGAGCGAATAGAACTGGGCGAAGCACGTTGTTGGATTTATCCCTCCCCTTTCCCTTCTCGAGGCAATAGATAAACTCGATTTTACGTATATACAGTATCAAGAATAATACGCGAGAGTGAAATAATTCGTTGAATGAAGGATACCGTTAGTTTCGTGGTAAAAAAGAAAGTGGGAAAGGGAAGAGATGACGAATTAACATTTTATTAGAAAACTTGTCCTTTTTTTCTATTTTTTTTTTTTTTTTCGTTAAAAAAAATGTTTATTACAAAATACACACAAGAGATTGATAGAAAAATTCAATAAATAATTAATTACATGAATTTTCTACTATACTCTCTCAGAAATCAATGCAGTAAAGTTCATTTTTGCGATATTTCAATCTATGTTAATAAATAATATCAATGTTAATAAATAATATTCTTTTTTTGGTTATTAAAAGTTATTAAAAGTAAATTATGAAAATTCTATCTTTTCCAACTATCAAAAGGTGATAGTTGTAAGGTTTATAAAATGCTGTAATTGGTTTTTTTTTGTGTGCGTGCATACTTTTCTGATCAAATTAAGAAATTACAAATTTAATAAAGCCAATGTATTAAAAAACATTTGTTTTATTGACTTGATTAATTTTTGACTCATTGATTTCTGAACATGACTCGTATATTAAATTCAATAAAAATGATAAATATATAAATTATATGGAAAAATAATTCGAACAAAGAAGAAGAAAAGGAATGTTTAACAAAAACAAAGGACAAACCCGACGTTGTCTGCATAATAAATAAGCAGCAAAATATATTCGCGTACGTTGTTTTTTAACATTTGAAACATTCACCGAGAGGATGAGAGAGTAGACCTTGAAATATAAAATCTGGTTCTCCGAGAATACCAGGAACCAGCTTGAAAGGTTAATAGGGTTGCTTTCGTATTATGGTAATGAGGATGAACAGCATTGTTCCATTCTTTTCGATTTATTTTTCTTATTTTTAAACAAACATATAGATATAAGAGAAAAATAAATATCAATTTGGTATCCTATTAAATTTGTATGCTAATTAGGACACATTGAAATATTTTCTAAGATCCATATGAGTGAGTTGATAAAAATAAAGCTGTAAAAAAAAAACTGATGAGTGTACTTATGTACGCACGTAAAAAGTTATACTTCTTTGACGTACTAAAACGAATCATAACTTCCATAACCTCAAAAATAATTTCAATTTGCCCGCGCCTCACGTAAATATCGACAACTTCGTGGTGTCGATTTTTCGGTCGCATCTAACTTCACTTTCTAAAACGCGCGCCAAAAGAAATATAACTTCAAAAAGAAAACATTATTAACCGTTAAACGTTTCTTCTTATTTTAACAGACACGCGTTGGAAAACAATATTTCGAAAACGTTCTTGAAAAATTTTAGGCCGAATATTTTCAAGCTCGTATAGTAACGGTATCTTTTAACGGTTTCAAATTATGAGTGAAATCATCCTTCTGTTTATATCGATGATGATGACGACGACGACGACAACGATGATATCGATTCACCATTGAAATGTCACTCGTGACGTTCGAATGAGAAAAAAAAAAGAAAAGAAAGAAAAAAAAGTACTTTTACTTTTGCTTATTGTCAGAGTTGAAGAAAACCGAATTCACGGAAGGAGAAAAAAAAGAAAAAGGAAGTTAAAGAAATTTCATCGAGGAAACTTACGATTATTAAACCTTAATAATAATAATAATAACAATCTAATAATGTGTGTCCCACACAAATCATATCAATCACGAAGAGAGTCTCGATCAAGGGGGAAAAAAATATACGACGAAAGTATAACTTCCGTTTTCGGTTACGAAACTTTTCGAAATTAATACTATTCCTCCCTTGTATCGTTTTATCGTAATCAAATTGTTTATAGTTTTTACCTCGAATAGAATTCTAAATGATTCTCTCGAGTTCTACTAGAAAGTTATTTGACATTTAAGAGGGTACGTTGAATTTTTTTTACTTACCCTGCATTAAGATCTCCCCACATCTCCACTTTCAATGTAAGTGTGTTTGTGTATGTATTCTGCATCTATGTAAATACACGTATTTGATCATGCTATTATAAGAGACTATTACCGATTATACCGTCTGTTACTTACTGTCTGACACAAGATCGGTATCGTTTTCTAAAAATAAAAATACAAATATAAAAAAAGAAAGAGAAAGAGAGAAAGAGAGAGAGAGATAAACAAGAAAGTTGCAAACTTGTTAAATATTTTCATACTTAAAAACACGTATACACCACCAGCCATACAATAATCATAAATAATATATTTTCTTTTCTATTCTATTTTTATTTTTTCATGTAAAACCAGTTAGACATTTAAAAAAAAAGCTCGTTTTGATATACAACTATATTATATTTATTCGATTAAAATAATTTCAGAAATTTAACAGCGAAAAACGATATTATAAATAATATTGATTAATATATTTAAAATAAGAGTTTAATCGTAATAATTGATTATTAATAGAAGAAAAATTATCGTTAAATCGTTAATAAGTAAGAAAAATTTGTCATATAGTTGAAATAAAATGAGAGATTTTTATTATATATTTAAAGGACAATGAGAGAAAAGATAGGATCCTTTGTCAGGTTCACTTGGAATTCATGGCCGGCTCATTAACTTTTAAACGCACACAATATTAACCGTTATCGCGTAGTGGGAATGGCAAGTTACGTTAGCGCATAACGTTAGCGTAACTATTCAATATGAACGTGTATGCGCGTGAACGTACTTACACACGAACAAATACTTCAAACTCGAAAACTCGTACGATACGAGAAAGTTCCTCGGTGGAATGGAACTCTTTCTTCTTGCTTTCTCTTTACACGCGTTACATAACGAGGAGTGGCAACAGCACGTTGTGTTACCGGAGACCTAGAATTCGTTTATCCTTTGACCGTGTCATTACATTTGGAAGGATAAATTTCCCTCCCCCTCCTCCCCCACTTCCTCTCTCTCTCTCTTTCCTGACCTCGAATCAATTTTAACAGGTGTTTCCGTGATCCTTTTGATTGTAGATTATTAAGAAAATTCTTCATTTTTTCTTATTAAATTAATATTTAACGTTCAACAGGTGACACCAGTTTCAACACCCCCTCGAACTATTGAAAATATTTAATTGAACGTTTTTTATTTTTAAAATGATTTTTCGAAATAAATATATCTCTTGTTTGTTTCTTTTTCTTTTTTTTTTTTTTAGTTAAGAATAATACGCTAATCATTTCGTTTCTAAATCTGTCGAATTATTATTTCGGTGTTCTTTTTTTTTTTTTAGGTAAAAATGTCAATTATATAAGACGTGAATTTTGATGCCAGGATTGCGTCAGGATTACTACGTCATCAGTTATGCATCTATTAATTTATATCGTTAATGACAAAAATATTGATGATCGTAAATAATTTTATATCGTTGATAAATTTATTTGAAATATTCGTATAGATTTTGAAATATCTTTGTTAGCATATAACAGGACATTAGCGTGGAATTAAAATGCAAGGACAACGTCTTCGCGATATAATAAAATGTAGATAAGTGAACGTTTTCGCAATATGCAATATGGTATATTACATTATGAAGTTATTTAAAGATAAATAATTTGCGAGAGGCATTTACCTACTACGAAAGTAAACGTATAAATAAATTAAAGGTGATATATACGTTAACGTAACAACAGTAACAATAATAAAATAAAGTAGAAAAAAAAAGAACAGAATATACAGAAATGAAAAAAAAAATCTTATTACGAATACGAAATGTAATTATTCTTCCTGAATTTCTAAACCGAGTAGTAGTTACGTCGTAAGAGAAATGAAGAGTTATTACCGGATCGTTAGAAAATCAGGATGGTAAATTGTCCTGAACGAGGTATACACTTCAAAATTAATTTGAGATAATCTTGTTAAAGAGATGTTTTCGTAAGAATCTTTATATATTTCATTCACAATATATAGAATATTTTATTTCGTACTTTGAACCGTTTAATATGTGTAAAATACGATAATGACCAGTAAAGATTGTGAATGAACGATCATATTTAACGCTATTTATCTATTTAAAAAAATAAAGAAAAAAAAGAACTAATACCGTTAACGATAGGTCATTAAATTCAATACACAACTTAGAACGGATGACGAATTATTAATGCAATGCAACGTTCTTCCGTTTCAGCAGGTACGAACACTGTTCTTCTTGGTTGCCATTGCTGTCCTTGGTACCATTCAGGATGGTAAGTCATTTCACAATCCTAATCTCACCAGAGTTAAAAATCAAAGCTAACTGATTAGCATTAAACACGCTACGTGATTCACTGTTGTTTGCTATCCCTATTGATCTCATCGACACGATTCCATCTACTTAAAGTACACATGTGACTATTATATATATACGTGTAAACACACATAGAATAAAACTAATGTGCATATGTTTTGTTAGAGTGTGCTCACGTATGCTATTAGAAAACACTTTCGATTAAAAATTATTGCGAAAAAGAAACTTTCCTTTTTGATTATTATTATTATTATTATTATTATTATTATTATTATTATTATTATAATTATCGTTTGATTGATTTTTTGTTTTTTTTTTTTTATT